CTCCACATGCTCGGGCCAAGCCTCACCCACAAGTAAATCTATCCCTGAAGCATGTGACCATTTCCAGTTGTTATTGTCATGCCGGTCTCTTCACTATGTTATCTACTCCCCCAGTCCCCCCCCACACACTTGTGTTTAGTTCCAACTATTGACCAGACCTCCTAGCCCGTTTTCCCTGGTCATGGATATTAGTCTTCTGCTATATATTATTATATACCACAAATGAATGCAATCATTCTATATACGTCCCTCTCCTTTTGACTCATTACACTTAGCATGATACTCTCCATGTCCATCTATTTATAGGCAAATTTCATGATTTCATTTTCCTAACAACTGCATAGTATTTTCGCTGTGTAGATATGCCATAGTTTCTTTATCCATTTATCTGTTCTTGGACACTCAGGTTGTTTACAGATTCTGGCCATGGTGAATAGTGCTGCAATAAACATAGGAGTGCAGGTGGTGTTCCTGCTGTGTGTTTTTGGACCCCCAAGGTAGATTCACAGTAGTAGTATTGCTTGGTCAAATGGGAGCTCAATTTCTAGCTTTTTGAGAAATGTCCATATTATTTTCCAAAAAGGCTGGACCAGTTGGCATTCCCACCAACAATGAACGAGAGAGTCCCTTTTTCCCCATGTCCACGCCAACACTGGTTGCTTTTCTTTTTTTGGATGCGTTCCAGTCTCTGTGGTGTGAGATGGTATCTCACTGTTGTTTTGATCTGTGTCTCTCTGATGATTAGTGAAGAGCATTTTTTTCGTGGACCTTTTGGCCATTTGAATTTCTTCTTTGAGAAAGTGTCGGTTCATTTCATCACCCCATTTTCTGATGGGATTGAATGGTTTTTTCCTGTAGAGTTCAACCAGTGTCTTGTATCTTTGATACTAAAACCCTTATCAGAAGGGTATTGGGTGCATATACTTTTCCTTTCCATAGGCTGTCTTTGTATTCTGGTCACTGTTTCTTTTGAGGTGCAGACGCTTTCTTAGTTGAAGATAGTCCCATCTGTTCTATTCCCCGACCCTCCATGTATACAGTCTGTGCCCCAGCAGTGCCAAAACTGACACCGTCAAGTGAAGCCAAACCCTCCTTCTCCAAAGCTGCTAAATAAAATAATGTAGACACAAGTAATTTTAAGACAAATATAGTAGCACTGTAGCACTGTCCTCCCATTGTTCATCAATCTGCTCAAGCAAGCTCCAGTAACGTCTCCTTTGTGAGAATTGTTGTTACTATTTTTGGCATATTGAATACGCCATGGGGAGCTTGTTTAAACATAATACTGACTAAAATCAGGTAGGAAAAAAGACTAAGATGAATGTTAAAAACTGAAAACTTACTGCTAGTTCAATCCTTTTTTTTTTTAAATTTCCCTTTCCTTTCCTTTGCCATTGTGATGAAACAGTTGCACACTTTGCTGCAAACTTAGCTATGGTGCTTGCACGCATGTGTGCAAATACTGGGTTTCACATTTGATTGTGGATGAACACTTATCTGTACAGTTCCACATCCAGGAAAACCCTGACTGGTAGTTCCACCAGAATTAAATTCAAAGCCCCACGTCTGTGTGAAAGGTCATACCCCAACACTACATTACCACTTTACCCTTCAACTAAACCATATCCCAGACCCCACTTTCATCAATTTTAATAATAAAGAACAGCCAAAATAAGAAAAAATTATTAGAACAATATAACAATATGACAGTTAAAAATCACTTAAAATAATCTAAAAATATTTAAAGAAGAAACTGTTCCTATTATATCAAAAATTTAACTAATACATAAAATTCCTAAGCTAGGCTTGGGGTGGGGCATCTTGAGGAAAGGGCTGTAGGTCAGAGCACAAGACAATGACGGGGGAAAATAGACACTGGTGTGGGGGTCTGGTGCTGGGATGCTGTGCTCACGGAACTATCACTGACACCACTCTAAGAATGTAAATCACATTGACTAAAATAAAGATCATTGCATCACTATCATCCCGTTGTTCATTGATTTGCTTGAGCAGGAGCCAAAAATGTCTCCATTCGTCCCACCCCTGAGATTTTAGCAGCCTTTCCTTACTCGTCCTTCCCAAGGCTGCCGTATTGGAGGCTCTTTCAGGGGAATGAAACCCGTTATTATTACTGTTTTTGGCATATCGAATATGCCACAGGTAGTTTGCCAGACTCTGCCGTGCGGGCAGGTAGCTTGTTGGGCTCTCGGAGAGGGACGAAGGCTTTTGGGACAACCTCTAATCGCTTTTACAGGTTTTTGGTTGGCTGGCTTGTTGTAACAATCTGCAAGCTGACAAACATGCACCTGCCTGAGTCTCTGGGCAGATAATCTCCGCTTACGGCCACCCTCCAGAACTCACTCCTCCTTCTCTCAGAATGGAGAATAAAATGAGGCCCCCATAACCATGCCACCAGACTCCGTGCCAGGCTGTTTTCACTTGGGGTGCCCTAGAGGGGGGTGGGTGAGAGCCCTACCTGCCCCAAGGGACCCATCCTGGGCAGCTGACCTCCACAAAATAAAAATATTAAAAAAAAAACACTTCCTTTTCCTAGAGTTGGTGTTCATGTAAGATTTCTTTATAATACAAACACAGATAATAAGTTGTTCACATATATTCAGCATATCAGTAATGTTTTACATATCTTCCTATACTTTAATGCATCTTTTAAATGCTGCATAATACTCTATTATATAATTGTATATAAGTGTATTGTATGAAGTTTGTATGACGTTTTGATTGTTTAACATGAATATAAAAAATACCATAATATTTTTATTTATTCTCCATACTGTATAAAGTTTTGGTTGGTTAAATATAAAAGTACTATATTTTGAAAGCAAAGATTTATTTTGGAAGGTGGTTCCTACTTTGTTCACTAGAACAGTATAAATTATAAGCTACACGGGGCTGGAGTGATAGCACAGGTAGGGCATTTGTCTTACACATGACTGACCCGGGTTCGATTCCCAGCATCCCATATGGTCCCCCGAGCACCGCCAGGAGTAATTCCTGAGTGCATGAGCCAGGAATAACCCCTGTGCATCGCCAGGTGTGACCCAAAAAGAAAAAAAAAATTATAAGCTACAAACTGTATTCAAAATAGAAAAGAAGAACTTCTATGTATTTACCTCTCTGTGAAGAAAGAAAAATCAAGGAAAATATAAGACAATTAGTAACTAATAAAATTACTTTCATTAAGAATCATAATAGACACAGGGTAAATGAAAGGGTTTTTACTTCTATAGTCATTTAAAAATGTATCACATGACTGTATTTTTCAAATAATAAATGTTTATAAAGAATCAGACACTTTCTTTACCATCAACTATGTAATACAAACATTGTCAGATTGTCTCATCAAAACATAACATAAATGGGAAAATTAAAAGTACAGGCTAATTCTCATCTAAGAACACAGTGCATTTATCAGAGTTTATTTACATTCAATGCTGGAAGTGAAAGACAAGACGCACAGTTTGTACATGAATGAAAAGAATATATTTTGCATTCTAAAGTATTTCTAAAACGTTTTTCTCTTATTTTTGAAAATTCTGAATTCCAAAATATATGTGTCATTTCCAAAACAGTGCATACCTTATCCTTATGTACTTTTGCCTCTGTAAAAGGAGACCTAAAAAACCTAAAACCTTGTTTGTAACTCAATTTCAGGAGTCTTCTATGTCAATTAAATGCCCTAATTAAACAAGTATATGTACTATATTTCGAACTAAGTAAATACTGTCACTGTCCTCCCATTGTTCAATTTTGCTTGAGCGGGCCCAGTAACGTCTCCATTTTGAGACACAGTTATTGTGTCTGGTATTGCCGTGTGGGCGAGATACTCTTGGTAGCTTGCTGGGCTCTCCGAGAGGGGCAGAGGAATCGAACCCGGCTCGGCTGGGCTGGCTGCGCGCAAGGCAAACACCCTACCACTGTGCTATGACTCTGAACTAAGTAAAAATAATTATTTGATATAAAATTTTCTACCATTTGGAATTTATGTCTGAATACTAAAAATTAAAATGGACCAAGAAACCCTACTGACACTAATACTATAGACCACAGTGTCAAAGGTGGGTGAGAGGGAAGTGAAAGGGTGAGAAAGTGGGTGAGGAGAATTGGTGCAGGGAAGTGGACACTGTGACAGGATTGGCACTTAAACACCGTATGCCTGAAATTCAATCATGAGTAACTCTGTAATTCATTCAGTGCATGGCTGGCATATGAAAGCCCTAGCTGAATTTTCAGCACACAGTGGTCACCTGAACACCACCAGGGTGGCCCCAAGTGGTACCCAACACTCTTAAACTGAGCAACAATGGTCTGAGTAAGTATTGCAGGCATGGCGCTGGTGACCCTTAAGCACTGTTTGTAAGGTTTGTAACCCTCCCAATTATAAAATTCAGACTTCACTGTGAAATATGACACAGATATGTTAGAAAAGTCACATAAACGAAAACGAAGAAACGATTACAACAAAGATTAAACTCACACTGAAATGTCTATTTCATAAGTGATGGATGGCATAATCTAATAAGTAAAATATACTGATTAACATGTTATTTTCACTTAATTTAAAATATAATTATAGGGATTGGAGCGATAGCACAGCAGGTAGGGTGTTTGCCTTGCATGCGGCTGACCCAAGTTTGATTCCCAGCATCCTATATGGTCCCCTGAGCATCGCCAGGAGTAAGTCTGAGTGTGTGAGCCAGGAATAACCCCTGTGCATCACCGGATGTGATCCAAAAAAAAAATATATATATATATAAAATTATAAATTATAACATGAGATTAGTTTTTTAAATTTTATTCAGAAGATATACTTAAATCTTACATAAAAACAATCATTAAGAATATTAATTTTTACCCAATTTACAAAGAATACCAGTATGACAAAATTTATTGTCTACCTGTAAATCATTTTCTACAAATTAATCATTAATAGATTTAAAGATTTTTAAGTTATTGCTAAGTAAATTCTGTAAAAGTTTTACCTTCATGTGATTTTTCAAAGGATCTGAGAGATTGAAATGAATATTACACTTTGGACAAGCTCTTGGAAAAGGGGTCCCATTCTTAGACTGATTTGATGAAGTATCTGTACCTAAAATAAATTCAAAATAGATGACTCATAATTCATCACTATAACCACAAATAATAGTATGTAAATTACCATAATTTCTTATAAATACCATACCTTCTTTTTTATGTAACATCTTTCTTACTTACCTTTTGATGGCATGGCCTGGGGAGTTGTCACTAAAGGAGACTTAACTGAAGGAAACATAGCTGAGGAATCTGTTTCAGAAACAGCTTCACTGGGTTTACATTTTTTTGGATTACCATTGTTGACTTCAGTTGTAGACGGACGTTTTGACAAAAATGAACTTTCACTCATACCTATAATTATTTAAATTGGAAAATACTTCTTAAACATATTAGAAGAGTGTTTATAATTATATAAACATTAAATTGGAACTAAACTAATAATAATGTAGTTTATTTGTATCATATAAATGATATTATAAAACTGATGCAACCCAGGGGCACGTTAGGGTACATGGGTTCAATCCCCAGACAACATGGCACTCCTAGCACCACTGTTCATAATATAGCTTTGAAGGTCCCCAATCACTGGGGTATGGTGCTGGTGGTCCCAGGCACCTCAAGGCTGAGCAGCACCATGTCCTCACACCTTCAGTGACCTGCAGGAAGATTAGCCAGATATCCCTGGACATGGTCCCACAGCTCCCTAAGCAATGCTTGAGAGAAGGTCCTCCAAAAAAAAAAAAAAAAACCCAAAAAACCCACAGACCAAAAAAACTAAAATATATATGTATTTAAATAAAAATTCACATGAACCCTTCAAAAGCTTTTAATTTAACCATTTAAAATGTCTAAGAAACAGATTTTTTTTTCATTTAACAAATATGTGATCTACTTAAAGCTTGAGGTTATCTTTTGCATCTTAACCTGTGTACAAAGTAGAAATAACTAATTGAGAGTAGCACTGCACTGTAACACTGTAGCACTGTCCTCCTTTGTTCACTGATTTGCTCGAGTGGGCACCAGCAATGTCTCCATTGTGAGACTTCTTGTTACTGTTTTTGGCATATCAAATATGCCACAGGAGCTTGCCCAGCTCTGCCGTGCGGGCGGGATACTCTCCATAGCTTGCTGGTCTCTCCGAGAGGAACGGAAGAATCAAACCCAGGTTGGCTGTGTGCAAGGCAAATGCCCTGCCCGCTGTGCTATCTCTTCAGCTATATAAAAAAGAAATTCCTGGTCCTCTGCTAGTATATAACAACTCAAGCATAACTAGTCTAAAATGGTATGGGGCATAGGGGAGTAGAGGGGTTGGGTCTGTGAACGTCATGGGACAGGCATGGGAACCTCCTGCTGCTATGCTGCTGCTATGTGGTAACTTCAAAAAATGGTGCCAGTCACTGGTGGAGGGATGGGTATTTGATCATTGTATAATTGAAACCCAAGCACAAAAATTTTTAAGTCTACAACTGTACCTCATGGTGTCTCACTAATTAAAAAAAAAAGTGCATGGAAATTGCAAAGAAAAAAAAAGGTGCCAGTCCCTGCCATCATCCCACACTCCTTCCAGTTGTGTGTGATGACCCCCCAGCTCCTTCTCTCTGCGCCATCAGCTAACAGATGCCTATAAGTGTCACAACCATAGAGGGAATCTCTCCCTAGAGTGAAAGGAGCACCTTTTGAGTCTCCCTGAAGTACACAGACACACAAGTGGCTGTACAATACTCCCCTCTTCCACACATACAGAAAGTGCAGTTGGACTCTTGGCGATAAACCCACAGACCCCCAACAGATGAAATGAGAATGCGGTTCAGAATCCATTTCCTTAGTGAGTGAAAATGCCTAGCAGCCATACAGACCCCACTAGTAGTGACCAGCTATATAATCTTTGATAAGGACTTTAGAGAAGAAACACTGAAAATGTTTAAGAAGCTCAAAGAAACAATGGAGCAAATTGTGAATATAACACAAAAGAATATGAGAGCAAAAATCGGAGGCAGAACAATAGTACAGTGGGTATGACACTTGCCTCACACATGGTCACCCTAGGTTCAACTCCTGGCATCCCATATGGTGCCCTGAGCACTGCCAGGGGTGGTCCTTGAACAAAGATCCAGGAGTAAGCCCTGAGCACCACTGTTGTACCCCCAAAACAAAAACAAAGAATGAAAAGAAAGGAAAGGAGAAAAATACAAGCAGAAATGATGGAACTAAAGAATTTGACAGGTGAACTAAAACTCTCTGGAAGGCCTTAGCAGCAGAGTAATAGCAGTTGAGGACTGTTACTCAGCCTCAAAATCAGAGAGTTCCAAGATGAGATGCAGAAAGCCTCCAGACAACAGCAGAAGATGGGGTGGGGGGTGGGGGGAGAAGCCTCAAAATACAGCTGACAACAGGACTTTGGGATGAATTCAAGAGGAACAGTATAAAATAAACCACTGGGGTCTTGGGAGACACAGGAAGGAAAATCCAATGAAAAAGCATTATCAAAGAAAACATCACTGAGAAATTTCCAGAGTTGAAAAGCACATGAGCCCAAATTCAAGAGGATCAAAGGGCACTAGCTAAATGGACCCTTCCCCTGAAAAAGCCTGCAAGAAATCTCTTAATCAGAATGATAAGTCATATATATATAATACTGAAAGCAAGATCAGCGAAGAAAATCACATACAAAGGTGCATTCTTAAGACAACAGAACTATCAAACAAGATTTGTGGAATGGTGGGATGAAATTTAAAACCAGTGAAATGAATGACTCGCCAAGAATAACCCCCTGACTCTCCGCCTAATAGTCAAAACAATAGTTGGGAAAAAGACGGGAGGCATCACTTTTCCCGATTGTGCTACAAAGTGGTAGTAATTAAATCAGCATGGTACTGGAATAGACAGACCCTTAGATCAATGGAATAGAATTGAAAGTAAGTATTTTATACCTAAAATCTTAGGTATATGGTTAATTTTTGATAAATGAGAAAAATCTATTAAGTGGAGCAAGAAAAGCCTCTTCAATAAGTGGTATTGGAAAACAGGTCAGCTACATGCAAAAAAATGAACTCAGAATTCTTTCTAACGTCATGCATATGAGTCAAATAAAAATGGATAAAGACATCAATATCAGACCTGTATAAATAAAGTACATAGGGGAAAACGGGCAGAATGACACTGTAGGTATCCATGACACTGTAGGTATCATTAAGGGTGAAATGCCACTGATCAGGAAAAAGGAAGCAAAGATAAATAAATGGAACTATGTTAAATTAAGAAGCTTTTTCACCTTAAAAGAAGTGAGGATCAGAATACAAAAACAGCCCACAGACTGGGAGAAACAGGTAATAACCTACCATACATCTGATAAAGGCTTAATACCAAAGATATATAAGGTATTGGTAGAATTTCAAAAGAAAAGAAGTCCAATTCTATCAAAAAATAGGGAGAAGAGATGTACAGAAACTTCCTTAAAGAATACAAATGGTCAAAAGGCATATGAAAAAATGCTCTACATTACTAATCATCAGGGAGATGCAAATCAAAACAAGATATCATCTCACACCACAGAGACTGGCACCATTCACAAAGAACAATAACCACCAGTGTTGGAGGGATGTAAAGGGGAAAGGGATGTCATTCACTGCTGGTGGGAATGTTAACTGCTCCACCCTTTTTGGAAGACAATAGGGAGAGCCCTCAAAAAGCTAGGAATTGAGCTTCCATGAGATGTATCAATTCTACTCCTGGGAATTTACCCCCAAAAGTTGAATACATATCCTTCTCTAGTGTATTCAAACACACAGGTATATATCAAAATTACTAAAATATAAAGTAAAAAGTCTTGGGCCAGAAAAACAGTGCAGGAGGTAAGGTGCTTGCCTTGTATGCAGCTGATTCTGGTTCAAACACAGGCACGGCATGTGGCCCCCTGAGCACCACTAGGGGACAACAGGGGTCACTCAGTAGCACAAAATCAGAATCAGTCACTGTGCACTGCTGGGTGTGGCCCCAATCCCGCCAAAACAAAATTTTCAATAACCAGCTATTTTCAATTAGACAAAATTCTTTGACAGCATAAAGACTTATTTTGTTAGTGAAAAACTTTGCAATACACAAAAATTTTAAAAAACCTCTAAAGCAGCAAATTTTATCATTATTCCTTTTATCAGCATGTACCAAGTACTTATTATATGAAAATGTGTTATAGCAACTTGAAATAATATCCCATAATTCTATCTTCTATTATATATAAATATAAAAAGACTGACCTGATTAAGAAATCAATTGTTATCATATATTCTGAACGGTGGCGAGAGAAACTAAATAATACTTCTCTTAATAGCATATTTATGGTATCAGAAGAATTTTCTAGCTTACATAAATCATTTTTGAGATATTTTCCATCTAAATCTGCAGTCCAGTTAAAACATCCAAAGCTGAGTAACATACTTAACAGAAAAACATTCTATTACTAAATTTTACTCAGATCTTCAAGATTGTAACTGACATTTCACCTCACAATATACGAAAAATTTAACAGACACAGAATTCAAAATATAATTTGATATATTCATCTAGCTCCTATTGTAAAATTTTTAAAACATGCTAAAACCAACCTGTTATAGGAAGTGTCGATGCACCTGGGTAATGAGACAATCCTGTGTCTTGGGTTAAGTCAAACAATAACTCTGAAGAATTATTAGATATAGTTCGTGATGGGTTTGTTAGATAACCCTGTTAAAATATACCAAAGAACAATATCACATTTATTCAACACAACTATATTTATTAGTTATAATAATAAATTATAAATTTTACCATTATAAATTTTTGTAATGGTAAATTTAACTATATGCCAATATTGAAAAAAAACCTGAGGTTTCCTGTACTATTAAGTAATAAAACACAAGATAACTACAAGTCCCTAGAAAAATTTCATCTAATACAACTAAAAGCAAACTACTACATAGAGTTAGCTTATTCCAGACTGAACAAATGAAATAGGGAGGCAAGTTCCAGTCTGACCATTTCAAAGTAAAAGAAAAGTATTAATCCATTTTCAATCAACAAAATTTATATATTGTAGAGGGTTACTTAAAATACAGCATTTACATCAAAGAACAAACAGAGCATAACAAAATTTTGGGAAGAGAAAAATAGGAAATATACCAATAACAACTACAAATCTGACGATTCCTATACCTGAAAGTCCTACATATGAACTATTGGAGAGAAACAAACTTCAAACTGATCTGCAGCATTGTGGACCAAGGCTGGAAAACAAAATCATGGGCCAGTGCTATAGTGCAGCTGGCTGGGCGCTTGCTTTGCATGTGGTTTGATTCCCGGCATCCCATTTGGTCCCGTGTCTGCCAGGAGTAATTCCTGAGCACAGAGCCAGGAGTAGGTCCTAACCACCATAAGGTGTGGCTCCCAAAGCAAAAAACAACAGCAAACAAAATCATGTGACCTAAGTTTTCGAATCATCATTGTTGACTAAACTTAAAGGTCAGGAAGAGAAAGAATGTGCCCCCACACTCTCAAACCACCCAGAGAAAGCTATGATGGCTCAAGCAACCATCTTTAGAAAGCAAATATGAAAGCTTCCTGGAACAGAATTAGAAAGCTAGAAAGAAAGTTTAAGTTGGAGCTTGTTTACAGGAACAATCTGCCATCAGTTATTTTGTGTCTATATTCCTAGGGCTCATCGGAAATTTTAAACTTTCTAACAGAAAAAAGGGTGGTTCAAAGTCAGCAGAAAGATCTCATGAGGAGGAAAAGTTTGGAGTGAGTCAAATGTCAGGAAGTATACAGATTTATATATAAATATAAAATGTAATGGCAAATATAATTTAGCAATTTATACACCAAAATCATTACCTATCAAATGTATTGATACACAGGTCTGATTTTAATGTAAATTGTCACTGTCATCCCGTTGTTCATCAATTTGCTCGAGCAGGCGCCAGTAACATCTCCATTAGTCCCTGTCACATGCTAGTGTAGCCTGATGGCATATTGGGGGCTCTTTCAGGGTCAATGGAATGAGGACCATCATTGTTACTGCTTCTGACATATTGAGTACGACACGGATAGCTTGCCAGGCTCTGCCGGGTTCTCTGAGGGGGATGGAGCCACTTATCACTTTTACAGGTGTTCTCCGTCAGGCATATATGTGGGCAGGATACTCTCGGTAGCCTGCCAGATTCTCTGAGAGGATAGGACATACATGTTTATTTATGTGTTTATTTGATTTTCTTACGTAAGACTACAATACCATCCCGCTTAAAAATTCTCTCTCCCTTGTTGACTTTGAGGAAACAAGCAGACACACTGGAAAGATCAACTTGAAAAGCAGTTAGTCAAAGTGAGGGTTAGAGAGATTGTAAGATGTTTGCCTTGCATGTGTGTGGCCAATCTCAGCACACCAAATCTTGAGCACTGCTGGATGTGGCCCAAAACCTCCCTAAAATGTCAGTAAAACAACTATGAAAGGATGAGTATAGTAGTACTGCAACTATAAAATCAATGACTTCAATACTAAACTGTAATGCCTTTTTTAAGTGATCAAATACACTTGTGCTTTTTAATGATGGAACAGGTTCTCAGAAATAAATAGCAAATGAATTCTTCACTGTGTACAATTACACATACCTAGAATGCATACGTTAAGGCTTCTTAAATTTTTCCAATTGGCAACCCCTTATCAATTAAGAAATGCAAAATGGATGAGTGCTGCTGAAATAGCCTGAGAATCATTACGTGCTCAATTCTGAATTAATTTTTGCTCACTGTACATCATAAACTTTTTACTGTTATCAGAATATTTTTGGCAACATCCCCATTTGGTTATCACATATGAGATGTGTCCCAGAGTTTAAGAAGCTTGGGATAGTGCTATTCACCTGGGCTGTATCATATAACCTACTATGATTTACATTATATATAGCACTGCACTGTAGCACTGTCCTCCCATTGTTCATTGATTTGCTTGAGCGGGCACCAGTAACGTCTCCATTATGAGACTTCTTGTTACTGTTTTTGGCATATCAAATACGCCATGGGGAACTTGCCAGGCTCTGCCGTGTGGGCAGAATACTCTCGGTAACTTGCTGGGCTCTCCAAGAGGGACAGAGGAATCAAACCCGGGTTGGCCGTATACAAGGCAAACACCCTACCCGCTGTGCTATCACTCCAGCCCATTATATATACAACCATTTTTTTCTGTGCGCTTAATTCTATTTGTGTATTTTATTGGGGGAGGGGAGGACTCCCAAGTGGTGTTCAGAGATCTTTATGGCCATTCCCAGATATTCTTTTTTTTTTAATTGAATCAGAGAGAAACACAATTACCAAGGTGTTCATGATTGGGTTTCAGTCATGTAATGTTCCAACATCCCTTCACCAGTGCCCATATCCCACAACCAATGCCTCCAGTTTCTCTCCCTCCCCACCCACTTTCTGTTCGCTCTCTGTCTCTCTCTCCTTCCCAACCTCTTTTCTCCCTGACTTTTGGGCCTTATAATCTGCAATACATAAAGGTAAAGGTAAAGGCCCTCCCGTTGATCGTCGATTTGCTCAAGCGGGCCCAGTAACGTCTCCATTGGAGACTTTGTTGTTACTGTGTCTGGCATATCGAATACTCTCGGTAGCTTGCCGGGCTCTCCGAGAGGGGCGGAGGAATCGAACTCGGGTCGGCCATGTTGGCCGCATGTAAGGCGAACGCACTACCGCTGTGCTATCGCTACGGCAATACAGATATTGAAAGGTTATCAGGTATATCCCTTTACCTACTTCCAACACTCAATTCCTGTCCAAAATGAGCATTTCCAAATATTATTGTAATATTGATCCCTTCTGTTGTGGCAGATTCCAACCAATGACCAGTCATTCTGGCCCATATTTTCCCTGGCCTTGGATATTAGTCTCATACTATTTTCTTTTTACATCCCACAAATGAATGTAGTCATTCTATATCTGTCCCTCTTTCTGACCCATTTCACTCAGCATGATATTCTCCATGTCCATCCATTTATAGACAGATTTCATGACTTCATTTTTCCTAACAGCTGCGTAGAATTCCACTGTTTAGATGTACCATACTTTCTTTATCAAGTCTCTTTTCTCAGGTATTTGAGTTGTTTGTAGATTCTGGCTATTGCAAATAGTGCTGCGATTAACAAAGTGCAGACTAGTGCCCATATGCACAATGGACTCTGCTCACCTGGAAGGAAAGTCCAGACCAAGGCAATTACTCCTGGCTCTGTGCTTTAGGGCTCACTCCTGACAGGCCTCTGGGGACCATATGGGGTGCCAGGGTTCAAACCCAGGTTGGCCATGTGCAAGGCAAATGTCCTATCCACTGTACTATCATCTCTCCAGCCCCTAGTACACTAACTTTTAACAGTGTTCAAAACATAAAGGTAGGTTTTCAAAATAAACTATAACTTCTCACTAATTTTCCCAATTAAAGTCTAAGAATACCTGTTCCAGATTAAAATATGGAATGTTTTCTATTATGTTTCATTCATTACTGATTAAATTTATTTAACTCCTGATTGACTGCAGTATTTAATATTAGATCTATTTAATTTAGGTGTACTTGATTTATGAAGGGCTGGAGCAATAGCACAGCAGTAGGGCGTTTGCCTTGCACGCAGCCAACATGGACGACCCGAGTTCGATTCCTCCGCCCCTCTCGGAGAGCCCGGCAAGCTACCAAGAGTATCTCGCCCGCACGGCAGAGACTGGCAAGCTCCCCGTGACGTATTCGATATGCCAAACACAGTAACAACAAAGTCTCCAATGGAGACGTTACTAGGCCCGCTCGAGCAAATCGATGATCAACGGGAGGGCCTTTACCTTTACCTTTTGATTTATGAACAGACTAAATAGTTCTAGTTATTACTTTGAATATCAATTAAATTATCATTAGATAGTGATATTTTCTGATTCTGATATAATCCTCCTCCTAGGTAACTACCCCTGATATTCCAGAATTTTAACTGGATATTAATGAAAGTGATACTATAAAATACATATTTGAGCTATGTAGTTTCAAACTACTTACAGGTTTAGACAAAGGTTGAACAATAATAGAACTATCTGAAGATCTAGATTCAGGATGAAAATTGACTGGGGAGGCTGTCACTGGATTTGATGCTGGAGTTATGTAGTGTTGACTTGTAGGCTTGAATGCAGCAGCAATACCTGTATTTTAAAATCATATAATATAATGACTGTACTTCTATATAATTAATTATATAAAAATATTTAAAAATAAACAGTATAATAATACTATACCTCGACTAAGTGCACCATTCCTTATTCCCCTTGAATATGAGCTGGGATTTACTCTGTTCAAAATATCTACAAAAAATCATATTTAAATTTATTTTTAAATTAATTGAATAATATATATGACAACAATAATATATATGACAATAATATATATGACAATAATATATATGCCTTTACTTACTTTACTTTATATGACAACAGAAATAAAAAAACTATTAAACCGATTCCTGCTTTTTTTATCTGCCCTTTTCAACTTTTTTTTTATTCTTGAGTGGAAGGTGGGCAGCGGATAGGGCTAAGATTCAAGAAATGAGTATATAAGTCATCACTAATTAAAAAGACCCACATATATATCTTTATCTCTAAAGAAAAAAAAAGAAACAATATTAAACCTTAGTTGCTTTATAGAAAAACAACCACTTAATTGTGACTCAAAATCCAATTCATAACTCTGGCACACATGTGAACTCCCTTAAGTTCTACATTAGTTTAAAAATCAAACTGAAATTTGGAATGGTAGGGATTTCCCTAAAAATATTCATCAGTAAAGATAAAAATACAAATAACTGTCACTGTCTTCCCATTGTTCATCGATATGCTCGAGTGGGCCCAGTAACAGCTCCATTTTGAGACTTGTTACTGTGTTTGGCATATTGAATACATCACAGGTAGCTTGCCAGGCTTTGCCGCGTGGACGAGATACTCTCAGTAGCTTGCCGGGCTCTCCGAGAGGGGCAGAGGAATCGAACCCGGAGCTCTCAAATTTTTTTCACATTTTCCCTGGGGACAGTAAATAACCACAATTCATAATATAACTTTTTTAAAGGATCACCAAAAAGTAGAGTTGTTTTCTGATAGTGGTAATGTAATGCTTTATACCAAAGAACAACTGAAGTCTTACGGAAAGTTTGCTTAAATACACTATTTTCACTTGAAAACATAAGATTAAGTATTATTCAGTATCGTCAAAGAAACTATTGCTAGATTAATTTCTGGTAGTAGTAATCCGCAAAATACAAATTTCATCCTTTTTTCTGGGAGTTCTATATATTTAACTCACAGTCCTTAAAATATTTTATAACTTATACATAAAAGAATAATAGAATTACATATCTTAATTCAGAAAAGAATTCTACTTGGATCACTCCAATTTGATAGAATTTTTATTTTTTAACTTTTAATAATAAATTTGTTGTTTAGGGGTTGAGTGTGTGTGTGTGTGTGTGTGTGTGTGTGTGTGTGTGTGTGTTTCTATTTTATTTTATTGAATTACCGTGACATAGGGCATTACAAAGTTGTTCATGATTGGGTTTCAGTCATACAATGTTCCAACACCCATCTCTCCACCAGTGCAATTTCCCAGCACCAATGTCCCTAGTTTCCCTTCTACACCCCCAGAACCACACTATCTCCACCTGCCTTTATGGCAGGCACCTTCCTCCTCTCTCTTTCTCTCTCTCTCTCATTTTCAGCATTATGGTTTGCAATACAGATGCTGACAGGCTGTTGTTATATCCCTTTACCTACTTTTAACACTCAGTTCTTATCCAGCATGATCATTTCCAACTATTGTTGTTATACTGGTCTCTCCTCTATCTTACCTACTGCTCCATAAATAGTTGTAGTAGATTACAACCATTGACCAATTCTCCTGGCCTTGAATATTAGTCTTCTACTATATATTTTTATATACCACAAATTAATGCAGTCATTCTATATCTGTCCCTCTCTTTCTGACTCATTACACTCAGCATGATACTCTCCAGGTCCATTTGTTCATACACAAATTTCATTACCTCATTTTCCCTAACAACTGTGTAATATACCATTGTGTAAATGTACCATAGTTTCTTTATCCATTCATCTGTTCTTGGGCACTCAGGTTTCCAGATTCTGGCTATTTGTAAATAATGCTGCAATGAACATAGGAAGGTGGTATTTCTGCTGTGTGCTTCTGGGCCCCCAGGGTATATTCCCAAAATGGTATTGCTGAACCATGGGAAGCTCACTTTTGAGGAATATTATTTTATACCCATATTGTTTTCCCAAAAAAGCTGGACCAGTCAGTGTTCCTACCAGCAATGAATGATGTTTCCTTTCTCCCCATATCGTACCAGCATTAGTTGTTCTTGTACAATTCGAAGAGTGCCAGTCTCTTTTATTTTTAAGCTACATTTGGATATGCTCAGGGCTCACTCCTAGGTCTGCACATATGGGGTCATTCCTTGTGGGACCCAGGGGACCACGTGGAGCCAGGATCAAACCCAGGCCCATTATGTGCAAGGCAAGCCCTCTACCTAGAAAGAGTCCCATAAAGTAAAGAGAAATCATACCCTGCGCTAGAACGTGGTAGCTCCAGAGCTGAGTACATCCTGAGAGAATCATTTCAAAATACCATTAGTTCTAGTTTAATACTAGCCATTGACAAGTAATACAGAGTCTTTTTACCACAGGTAGAGGGGAGGTCCTCCCAAGTGAGTGCTTAGGGAGCGCCAGGACCAATCCAGGCAATATTTAGCTAACTGGGTCCAGTAGCGCAGTGCAAAGGCCCAAGAATGCGGTGTTCCTCTGGGCTCTATAGCGCACGTATACACATATGAGAAGTATTTCATAACTATTTTTTAAATATAACAAAGGCATATTCAATAACTCTAATTGAAATCTAATAATAATCTACAGAGGTAACAAGATGTTCTGTTAGGAATTCAGTGTTACTGTATCATTCAAGCACAGAGGCTGTAGCCAGTGCCCTTTTTTCATGCATCCCCCCCCCAGTTGGTACATAAGTAGGAATTTGTAATATATTGCCAATACATCCTGTAGACATGTATGAATAATGCTACAATGAGGCAGTAATAGCCTGAATATGAGCTTTAAGATATTATTTTAAATATTTTAAAGGTCCAATCTGAGCTTTAAAATGTTATTTTGTATATTCTATAGTTTTAAGCAAGTGTGCTAAGTTCTTCTTTTTTCTTACTTTCAGATACAGTGGAGGGAAAGAAAAACAAATTTGCTACTTGGATTCACTAAAAATCATAATTTCTAACATCAAAAGACTTCAGTACCATCAGCAGATCTTGTCTAACTCCTTTTCTTAACAGGATATTTCAATCTCTTACCCATTTCTTCAAGTTGCTAATTACATCCCCTGTCTTATTTTCAGTTCTTACTAATCTCCCACTGATTCTCTCGTTTCCACTTTCTTAACAGAGGAATAAGGAGATTAAGTACCTATAAAACATTTTTTAAGTTTTCCCACTAGAAATAATATCTAGGGGGTATGGTGACACAAGGAGGTCAACCTGTACCTGTAGGCCTAGTGCATCAGCAGCAGCCTGATGGTGCCTTTAGGCTTCCTGATAACCCAAAATTGCCGCTGTGCCTTTGGCCAGACCCCAACAACTTGGGACCAAGTTTACCAAGAAATTAAATGGCCAAAAGTTAGGTATGTGGGAGCCATGACCACAAACCACCTTCAGCTCAGCTATACAAGCTCATTTATTGGCCTTATTTCAGAGACCCCAAGATAATCTCAAAAGAGATCAAAAGCTGCAGCTAATTTTGGACCTACCATGTCTGAACAGATCAGGGTAAATTGGAGAGGGGTGGGTTGGCCTGTGCCCAAAGCGGACCCCCTCAGCAGCAGCTTGCTTCCACAATCCAAAATCGCCACCATACCTGCCCCCCTCGTCTCAGGACAGACCTCACCAACATATAATCTGCTGAAAATTCAGGTATGCAGGTTTTGTGACTAAAATCTCAGGGCTTTCTCCGAGTTGGGATGAGCTCCCTCCCCCGCATTTCCCAGTACTCCTGGAAGCACTGGCAGTCACGCCCATGAACCAACTCCAGAACCACCATGTAAGCTCTACTACCGGCCTTGCTTCACAGACCCATTAATAAATTTCAAAAGAGATCAGAGCCCCCAGCAGCTGCTTGCTCCCATAATCCAAAATCACCACCATACCCCTGGCCTGACTCTACGGTCTCAGGACAGATCTTACTAAGACATAATCTGCTTAAAATTCTGGTATGCAGATTTTGTGACTGAAATCTCCAGGCTTTTTGGGGAGGGGAGGGGGTCAGGATGGGCTACCTCCCCCCACCTTCTTATACTTCCAGAAGCCTCAGCAGTCACATCCACAGCCCAAAGCTGCCATCCAATTGAAAAGCTATTCCAGCCTTACTGTCCTGATAAAAATAGAAAATGCCCTCAACAAACATCATGCTCTCTTGGCACCTGTATTGCAAATCATAATGCACAAAAGGAAAAGGAGCGAGAGCAAGAAGGATGGGGGTTGGGGGGTTGGGGGATGGTGGTAGAGAAATAGGGGACATTGGTAGTAAGAAATGTACACTGGTGGAGGGATGGGTGTTGGATCATTGTATGACTGAAACCCAATTATGAACAGTTTGTAATCGTCTATCTCATGGATCTCTAATTTTAAACAAAATTTTTAAAAAAGTAATGTGGAGTTGATGTCCAATTCAATCAGCTTAATCAATGGCTGAATAAATAGCAGTGATCCTATACTGAAAAAAAAAATCTAATATACTTGGTTGACCAAAAGTAAATGCTTACTTGAAATTGCTGGTTTTGAACTTGTTATCTCTCCAACAAAAATTGGCTCATCATCATCATCATCTTCAACCTCTTTTACTTTCTTTTGCCATGGTTCTAGCTCTTCTTCTTCACATTCCATAAAGAGTTCTGCCATTTTTGAATTACCTAATTTTCAAAAGGAGAGATGCAAACCAGATTTTCAAAAAGAGAAACACATTTTTGTAGTATATGTTTACAATTTAATAAGTTGAGAAATAATTTCTGAATTGATATTTGTACTGAGTATATGGTAGCAACTGTGAGAAAGTCAGGGTTCTAAGATATAATCTACAATGTAGATAAATTATTTCTAAACAAGATTCAGAAATCAGGGTACTCAATGTAATATAAATTCCCATGACAAAAGAAATAGCCGGCATAGAGAACAATCAGTTGAACCAGAATCCTAACACAATCAGTTGAACCAGAATCCTAACAGGATGAGTTTTAAGAAAACAGGATGACTAAAATGTAATCTTTTACTGATAGTCAGTAATAGCTCTCTACAGACAGCAACAATTTGAAACAGTCAAAGTAAATTTTAACCATAATCTTAGCATGATTATATCCACAAAAAGGACTGCTCCTAACCATTATCTGAAATATATATATGTAGATAGATAGATAGAGAGATAGATAGATTTCTTGTGCATATGTTTCTATAGGTAAATAAAATAAACTAGGAATAAAGGTCATGAAAATAACAGGGAGATATTCCAGAGCAACTATATTAGATTCAGAAATGCCTAGCACAAAACAAATCAGGGATGAGATACTAAACCAAAACACATAAGTAATATGAATATGCAAATATCACCATCTAGAAGTTGTGACCAAGTACAGAGCTCTGAGAAACATTTAGTGACTATTAAAAAAGGGGGAGGAGGGAGGGGGCCGAGCGATTGTATAGTAGGGAGGATATTTTGTCTTGCATGCAGCCTACCCAGGTTTGATCCCTGGCATCCCATATGGCCCCCCAGCACAGCCAGGAGTTATTCCTGAGTTGGAGAACTAGGAGCAATCCCTGAGCATCACCAAAACGAACAAAAGTAGATGGATAATCAAAATTTTAAGCAAATAAATACATCCAACCAAAATCAACAAAATAGGTAACGATTAATTCTTAGAAAATAAAGAGGTCAGAGAGAGAGAGAGAGAGAGAGAGCGCAATGGACTGACTGCATGCTCTGTGTGTGGGAGGCCCACGGTGGACCTGGCACTGCATGTGCTCCTCAGAGCATCCACAGCAGCAACCCTGAGCACCAAGCATAGAGGAGCCACTGAATACCACTCGGTGGCTCCAAAACAAACAAAGCCATCAATGAAGAGGGCAAGTGAAATATTACCACAGATATCTATAGCAACTTTAGCTATATAAGAATGTTATTTAAAAAGCAAGTCAAAGACAAAACAAAAACATATAAAAGGCAAATATTTTTGTTTTCACAAACTGAAATAGCTCCATAAGTAGAACAAAGGAAAAATACACAAAACGAAAAAATACATCTATATCATATAAACAGAGAAAAGGCAGTGGGAAGGTTAGCAAAGAAATAAAACAAGAAAATTTTCTAGACCGGAGGATGTAAATCTTGGTTAAAAAGCCTAACTACTCAGAACAATAATCAAGAAAGAAGTTAAGCCAAGATATATCAATATGAAACTCCCAAGAATATCTTCAGATCAGGATGGGGATGCTCGAAACAGGTCTGATATGGAAGATTAAGCAAATGTTAGAACACAGCAGAATAGAGGTTTTTTCATTATTCCATAACAAGCGTTTCATCAAGTATAACTAAGAGCAACAGCAGCACACTAATTTACCTTCATGCACTTTTCTCAGAATGCTACTATAGAATCTACTCATTTCTGATAATCAAGAAACAGAAGAAATAAGATTCAGAAATCAGGGTACTCAATGTAATACAAATTCCCATGGCAAAAGAAATAGCTGGCATAGAGAACAATCAGTTCAACCAGAATCCTAACACACCAGGATGAGTTGTAAGAAACCAAGATAACTAAAATGTAATCTTTCACTGATAAGTTCTACTGTGTAGAAAACTGAATTGAGAGGCTATTGAAAAATTAACTTCAGAGTTTAAGAACGTTTAGTAAACAAAGGGCAAATATCTTATGTCCAAGGACAAACTGGGCTTCTAAAGTGTATTTTCCTCTACCCTCTAAATACATAAAAGGGACACAACAATCTATAGACTAGGAAACTATACACGTAATAATCTATGGACTAGAAAACTATGAAAACCAGATAATGCCTAATTTTTAGAAATTGTGGAGGCTCACTGATTATGTATTGATAATGAAAATCTCACTTTTTCCAGCTGATACAGAGTCTGGGCTGAACTGTGTTTCCCCAAATTTTAAGTGCTCAAATCCATATTGCCAGTACCTCAGAAGGTGACTACAAATGCGTTTACAATGATGGACCCTAATGCAATTTGACTGCTGTCCTTAATATAAGGATGATACAGACATATGTAGTGGGAAGGCCACCTGAAGACTCTGGGGTCATATGGTCATCCAGAATGCCAGGAAAGAGGTCTGGATTAGGTCCTTCCCTCTTGGTCTTCAAAGGAACCAGCCCTCCCAACACCTTCACCTGGGACTTCCATCCTCCATAACCATGAGAAGAGTTTTGTATAAGGAATCCAACATGAGCCATTTTCTACTGGGCAGTCCCAGTCATGACAGAGAAGATAAAATTCTTACTCCTTGTTTCTGGTAACAGTACTTGTCAGTGTGCAGGCTCACCAGTGTAATGCTCAGGTGTGGGGTGCCTGCCTGTGTGTGGCTCAGGACAGAACTCTGGCTCCCTCACAGGCCAGGCATAGGTGGTATCACCTGCGCCATCGCCCTGACCCCTAGTCGTCTTATACCAAAGCATATCACCAAAGCTGGTATATCCAGGACATATTGTTGAGGGGTAAAAAAATAGAAATACACATAAAAATTGAATTTGGAAGACATATTCATGTTTAAGAAATGATGTTTTGTCTATACACAGTATAGAATTATGTACACCCACTAATAATAGGTATCACTGTGCATACACAGAACCTCTTATTTCTACCTTACTCATTTTTCAATCTTCATTACTTGTTCTTAGATGATCATTTGTTTCTTTAGCAATATGACATGCTTCACCTTGAATAAAATCTGATGCCAACCTCTCCCTTTTTCCTGAACAATGTTATCAGTACAAAAGCCACAATACTATTAGCTGTGTCAGCAACACTTACTTTTTGGCTGAAAAGAGTTGTCGCCCATCAAGCTGCAGAGTTGACTTTCTTTAAATTGTCACCTAAGTACTGACATATGATTATCAGTCAAATTTTTGAATCACTATGAGTAATGGCAAACACTGAAATATTGAACTTGGGATTCAAAAATTCCTGAATCCAATTTTGTTTTCCATACTCACCAGGTGACACCAGAGAAAGCAGCAAGTTTTATCTCAGGTTTCCTTCCTGCAAAACAGAGACACCTACTTATTAGAATGGGTTTCAATTTACGCCCACACTTAAATTTTTCTACAAAAAAAATCCCATTTTTAAGTCTGATATTTGAATCATACATAAATTTCAATATACTTTATATAACTGGCTCATTTGCAAATAAACCTATCTTTTAAGTAAAACTGCATATGTATTAAGCATTTATTACCTGAAGAAGGCTGAATTATTAAATTATGAACAATTTTAAGTCATCACTTCATAAAAATGAATAATCACCTCTTAATGTATTATTGTAGTTAAGTCTGAATTTTCAGATATTAAGTGACATATTTTTAGACTATTCCCTATTCTCCACATTTCAGAAGTAAATGCAATTATCTTGAGAGGAAACAATTTTTTTTTACTGTTTACTTTTTAAAGAAACTAAAATAAATTTCAGTTTGTATCTAGATTTTCCAATAAAACGAAAAAGCATTTCAATTTCACAATAGATTAATTCATTCAAAATAATTACTCATTGTTTTCTGTATGTAAGATAATGCAACAAGTTCTAAGTTAAAAATAAATGAGTCACAGACCTTATGAAGTTTACTGTTTATATGTCTACAATTCTTTGGGCCTAAAAAATGATTTTAGAACATGATCAAAATAAATTTTAATTACTATCCTCAAAGCAATAATTTGTTTTCTGGACACACACAGGCATAGTTTCTTGGGACACTCAGCATTTATTTTATTAAATACATTGGATTTTTAGTGTGGACATAGTAGTCACAGGTGTATGAACCCTGATAAAACATGCCCCCAGGAACCAACCAGGATGGCCCTGATGGTTCCTAGCACAGGGGACACAAGAAGAATCATCAGAGCCTCAGATTTTCACTCCGAACTACTTGAGTATCACTGGCAGTGGTCCCCAGGCACCATAAGCACTGCTTGTGTGAGACTCCCCTTCCAATTCACTCCCCACCAAAACAAAAGGTTAAGAATTGATGCAAAGGGCCTTTGACAAGATAATACAGTGTAGGGTGCTTGTCTTGCTGACCTGGATTTGATCCCAGGCACCATATACGGTCTCCTGAGTCCTGCCAGGAGTGATCTCTGAGTGCAGAACCAGGAGTAAGCCCAAGCACTGCTCAGTGTAGCCCAATAAAACAAACAAACAAACAAATGGGGGGGGGAGACAAAAAAACAGAGGATGGTGGGGGGAGGAGTGGAGGAGGTGGAAGAAGAGGAGAAGATAACACTCTTTCAGAAAATGACAAAGAGGAATTCATGCTCAAATCTAATCACTTGTTTCTATGGGGAAAAAAATGAACTTGAAGGAAAAATAAACTTCAACGACTGACAAAAAAGCCTTTTAGAATATAATTTATACACTTTCGCATAAATTGCAATTCCCATTTTACCATTTTTGTCTTTATATACCAAAAAAATAAACTACCTAAAAGGAGTTTTTTGGAACTTTTTTGAGCTAATGGAAATGTGGTTCCGAATTTTTAACTGTTTGAAAAACCCATTCTTATCCAATGACAGCTATCACCTGGACAATGTCGTTATTTAAGATAGCAAGTGTACTGAGTTTGATCTAATTCCTAACACACATCATGGGCACAGGTGTGCCGTGTGCTAGATACAGTCCTATGTAATCTCTGATAAGGAAAAGATCAAATGATTCCAAAACCACAACTGTAGAACTGGCACATTAAGAAAAAAAAAGAACCCTGGGCTAGAAAACACAAGACAGAAACTTGGACCTTTCAGTCAATCCATCTTACTAGACGACTGGTTTCCTAGTTCCACTGAACAAAAAGGTTTACTCGCTCTATACTATACTGTATACTGTAAAAAAAAAAAGCAAAAACAAAAAACAAAAAAGAAAAACACTTAAAATACGTATTAGCCATAAATGTTTTAACTTGGCAATGAGTATCAGGATCAAATTCTGACTTAATACCTTGTTAGGTGTATGATCTGAGGGTAGTTCGTAGACTTCCATGTACTGTCTGCTGTGTGTGTAAAATGTTTTTCGCAGGGTTACTTTAAAACACACACACACACACACACACACACACACACACACACACTATCTTGAACTCCGATAAACATAATATACATGCAGAATACAGCTTGTCAACACTGCTTAAATCTGTGCTCCTAGCACAAGATTATACGCAAGAAACAAGTATCTAGTTCAAAAATACCGACATGAAAATTAAGATTTGGATAGTGTCATACCATTTTAAGAAAAAAAAATTATTTGTCTACATGTATTTCTATGTTAATTTCCTTTTTAAAAAATTGCTTTTAGTAGCTGGGCAGAGAGTACAAGGGTTAGGGTTCATGCAAGTGTCCAACCTAGTCTGAAAGCCCAGCACTCCAGGGCCCGCAGGCATCAGCAGGTGTGTAGCCCTGGAGGCCCCTGAGCACTGTCAGGTTGGCCAAAGGGTGCCCAAGGACCCAAGTAGCACCTCACCATCCTCAGACCCTGGCTCTGAACCACCAGTCGACTGTTTAAATAACAGCAGCAGTGGCCCTGGGTTTCCTGAGCACTGAAAGCCCCCAACCCTGCCCAAAAAAATCTGTTGAAAATAAGCGGGTGTTAAGTATGCTAAGGAGGAGGAATATAGTGAATAGTTACAGCCCAAATCCCTTTCTCTGGGTCTTGACATTTAACCATAAATTTACTGCCCTTTCTTAAATGATAATATAATTTCCTGTATCAATTTACATTTTTCAGTCTTGTATATTTTTCTCTATTAAGCCCTCCTTTATCAATTATCAACCAAGTCAAAGTTGTAGATGAGCCAGATTTGAAAGGTCTCCTCATTACAGCTGATGAGCCTGAAAGCCACATTACTACAATTCAAACTTCCATTACTTATAGGATCATAACTAAGGCATCTCATGGAGAATTTGACTCCAGAGAATTTGATGTTAGGAGACACTATCAAGATTATATTTGGTTGAAAGGAAAACTTGAAGAAGCATACCCTACTCTGATTATTCCACCATTACCGGAGAAGTTTATAGTGAAAGGAATGGTTGAACGTTTTAATGATGACATTGCATAAATTTTTGAATGGAATTGCTGAATATCCAGCTTTAACACTTAATGGAAACTTCAAAGTTTTTCTTGCTACACAGGCTTGAAAGCTCTCTTCTCATAAGAAGCAAGGGCCTTGGGGGTATGGTGCCACCAGCAGGTCAATCTGTACCTATGAGGAGCGTGCATCAGCAGCCTGATGGCGCCTTCAGACTTCCAGATACCCCAAAATTGCTGCTGTGCCTTTGGCCAGACCACAAAAACTTGGGGCCAAGTTTACCAAGAAAGTAAACGGCCAAAAGTTAGGTATATGGGAGACACACCCACAAACCACCTCGGGCTCAGCTATGTAATTGGAAGCATGGCCTCTCTGCTTCCTGATTGAACTGCTTAACAGCCATGATCCCAGAGACTCAGAAACGAATCTCAAAACCAGTGGCTTATGGCAGAAATGCATCCGGTCCCATCAGTAGGTTACCAGCGCTGAGCCAACCCAGATGGGAATAGGTTTCATGCCTTGGCCTGTTCGCCCTGGCAGCCCAGTGGCCGCCATCCTCCAGAGGCCACTGGACAGTCAGGTTTGGGATCGCAGTGACAAGACAGGCAGGGCCTCACGGGATGGGGGTGGAGCCGGCCCTTTCCTCCCCACCCCAAAGAGACCCCAAGTCGTCACCCACAAATGGCCTCTCTGGCTCCTGATCAAGCTGCTTAACGGCCATGATCCCAGAGACTCAGAAAGAAATCTCGAAACCCAACAGCTCTTGGCAGAAATGCGTCCAGACCCCGCAGTATGTTACTGTCGCTGGCCTACCCCAGGGGGGAAAGGGTGCTGTCCCTCTGCCTGCTCCCCCCTGGCGGCTTGGTGGCCGCCATCCACCAGAGGTCATTAGACATTCAGGTTTGGGCCCACAGTGACAAGACACACTGAGCCTCATGGTATGGGGGTGGAGACGGTTCTTTCCTCCCCACCCCAACGAGACCCAAGTCGTCACCCACGAACGGCCTTTCTGGCTCCTGATCAAGCTGCTTAATAGCCACGATCCTAGAGATTGAGGAACAAACCTCGGAACTCAGCAGGTTTTGGCAGAAATCCCTCCAGATTTAAGTGTTAAAATTTCAGAATTTCAAAATCGTGCAGCCACTACTGCAGTCACACAACATCATGTTATTCTTAACCAGCAATAGAAAACAAATAGTCTACTGCTGCCTTTTCAGCAGATCTGAATGTTGGGGTAAAATCCCAAATAATAATGGTGGGTCTGGTGTCAAAATATTGAATGTGATCAAGGTAGAGAGAGTACTGTGGAAATCATCTACCCCACAGGTAGGGGGAAGGCAAGGGCCTGGGTTCCTGAGCAGAATGGGGCCGACTGTCAGAGCTATTGCATCATCAATGAAAGGAGTTAAGAGCCGCCCAGAGGAGTTCATGGAAATGAACCATTTTATTGAACTCTTTAGCCAGAAAATCAATTTGCTTGATAAAATATCCCAGAGAATTTACAAGGAAGAATGAAAACATTTTGATGAAATGAAAGAGTATGGCCCCATTCATATTCTGTGGTCAGCATCAGAAGAAGATCTGGTTGATACTCTCAAAGGTGTTGCCAGCTCTCTTGATAAATGCTGTAAGGCCAGCAAAAAGCAAATGCGTGAACTCTCGGGAGGCCCTGCTTCCTGTCATCCATGAGTACGTGCTCCACAGTGAGATGTTAATGGCTGTTATGAAAAGAAGAGACCAAATACAAGCAGAACTGGATTCCAAAGTTGAAGATTTGGCCTATAAAAAGGCAGATATTGATCTGCTTACAGAAGAGATTGGAAAACTTGAAGATAAAGTGGAATGTGCTAATAATGCTCTGAAGGCAGATTGGGAACAATGGAAACAAAATATGCAAAATGATATCAAGTCAGCATTTACAGACATGGCGGAGGATAATATCCACTATTATGAACAGTGCCTTGCTAC